GAGCTTGGGGCGTGACAATTTTGTGGTATCAAAGCCAAGTTATAATTTTAAAGACTTGTATAGAATAGTAGTGAGATTGGGTAGATGTAGGATTGGGAACGCGTATAATTTAGTATAATGTTAATTTTAATTACATGTTATAGGGACTTGAGAATAGAATAAGATGAGGTTTTATTATTGATGCATATAGGTTGCAATGAAACATGAGGAGACATTGGCAAATCTCGTGTGGTTAGAATAGATAGCAGGAGATTGCTTGTAGAATTGACTGTTTTAGATATGCGGGACTTTGACATAATTCTTAGAATGTATTGGTTGGCAACCAATTATGCTTTTGTTGATTGCCGAGGCAAAAGGGTAGTATTTCAATTTCCTGATCAACCAGAATTTTGTTTTGTGGGTAGTGGAGTTAACACTCCTCCTTTGGTAATCTCAACTTTGCAAGCTAGACGATTGTTGAGGAATGGTTGCAAGGGTTATTCAGCTTCTGTGAGAGATATTGTAATAACCCTCATCACTGCTTACCGATAAACATTGATTACCGTTAAACTGAACTGATTATGACTGATAACTGAACTGATTAAAGTACTGAACTGACTGACTGAAAACTGGAACTGAATTGACTGAGTATGTGTGTTAATTTGTGTTCTATCTGTTTGATTGTTTACTTGATCTGTTCACATTTAAACTGCTAATTGAAGGCCTTATCGGCGGCCAAACCGGGAATTGATTGATGTTTTATGATCCTCATAATTAATGTGATCTTATGGTGTATTTATCCGAAAACTGATTAGGTATGATTAAATTAGATTAAATATTGATCAATTGCTTAAGTTTGACTTAATTACCATTAGACCACTTAATGGCCACTACCTCACACATGTTGAGCCTTGTATACACTTAAATCAAAACATTTCCTCAACCTTGTTTGAGCACTCAGCCGAATTTAGAGAGAAGAGAGGGAGAGAGTGAGAGAAATTGGATTCATCTTGAAGAATTGCTTGGTAATTGAAGTGTAGATTGCTATTTGAGCTCCTAAATCTTGAATACAAGACCTAAGGTAGAGTAATTGCCCTCTTGTTTATGAATTGAGCTAGTTCTTGCATGATTCATGCTTCATTGTGGAACTAAGTCATGATTTGGTTCAAAAAATGTGGAATTATAGCTTCATTCATGCATGCATGTTAGTATTGTTGGATTTTGAGTTGAGTTCATGGCAAATTGTTGCATGCATGACCATGTTTTGAGTATGGTCCATGTTTTCAACTTGTTTTGGGATCAAGTGGCTCCTTAGAACATCGAATTGGAGCTTCAAAATGATTTGAATTCATGCATGTTTGCATGTTCATCCTGTTCTTGAAAATGGTTTGAAATTGGGTTTGAATTAAACACCCTTGGGCTTTGATTTCTCAAATTGAGTTTTGAATCATGTTTTAACTATGTGTTTACAAAATGTTTTTGGAAATTTAGCCCAAGAGGTCGAGTTTTGAGTTGTTAAAACTTGGTTTTTGGCTTGGAGGTGCAACCTGGGTTTTCCAAATTTTGCACTTCCCAGCTCGAGCGGGGATTAGTGACGCTGAGCGTGGAATCCGAGCATCCACTATTTTCTCTGCACTATTTTACAGTCCGCTCGAGCGGAGGCATGTGTCTCACGATCGAGCGGGCGTCGAGCGTCCGTCGAGCGGAGATTTCACCCATCCAGTACTTTTACAGTACGCTCGAGCGGGAAAGTTGACGCTCGAGCGTGTACCTTGTTGCATGACCGCTCGAGCGGGAAACCGCGCTCGGCGGGACTCTGTTTTCTGAAAATCTGAAAATGCTTTTTAAAAAGTGCATCTTTTTGCATCCTCATCCCATTCTAGGCATTCTTAGGCCTAGTTTAAGACATCTTATTGGGGATATAGATGTAGAACACACCGAGGCAAATTAGGGATTAAGTTATTATCTTCCCAGTTGTGTAGCTTAGTGTGTTCAATCTGTTAACTGTGTAGGGTTGGCGACTGGGGAGGCATGCTCTAGCATACTGTAGCCCAGAACTCTGTGAGTAACGATTAATGTAAAGATATGTTCACAAATGATTATCTTCTGAACACTGAACTGTACTGTTTTCTGAACTGATTTCTGTTAACTGAATGAATGTATGTCCTATATTCTGAACTGTATATATGGCATCCTTAGCACCTACTGTTTACGTTACTGTGACAAAATTCTTGTCGGTTCCCTTGTTGGAACCACCACTATTTATGACTGATGGCCATCACTACTGTTCGGTCTTTTGAGACCTACTGTTTACTGTACTGATATGCTAATGGATGTACCACATATGGCTGTACTGACTGAATGACTGAAAATACTGTTTAAATGAACTGTTTTCATACTGTAAGGACATTCATTCTTAACCCCTTTACGCATTATCTTATTCACTGGCTTTAGCTCACTGCTCTTAATATATGTAGGTGTTCAGGCACCAGACCGCGGCTAGGAGCGTCAGAGTATACTCCAGTTTGTCAAGCCAACCTATTATGCCTCACTGCGAGGTTCCGAGCCTTCGTGTCTTACTGTTTTGTATAGACCGAATGCTTACTGTTCTGTAATGTAAAGGTCGAGTCCCTAGTCTGAATGATTATGCTTTTGTGGCATACTGTTCTGTAATGATTATGTATATATATTGTGCATATATGTATGAAAGTCTTTTTGCATACAGACTGTCACAGCTCATTGGACATTGTTTATTTACTGTTTTGGCTTCCGCCAGACCCTGTACTCTGTTTTACTGTTCTACTGTTCTGCAGGCCTTCGGTAATCTCGGATTACTGGCCGGTTACAGTGCTAAACCCATAGGGCCGGGTTTGGGTCGTGACAGATATTCATGAGACTGAATTGAAATTAGAGGATATTCTAGTTGTAAAGGAATTTCCTGATGTTTTTCCTAACGTCTTACCAGGGTTGCCACCAAATAGAGAGATTGAGTTTGCCATCGAATTGATACTTGGCAGGGGTCCTATCTCCAAGGCTCCATATGGGATGGCCCTAGCAGAGTTGAAAGAGTTGAAGGAACAACTACAAGAGTTACTAGATAAGGGCTTTATTAGGCCTAGTGTTTCTCCTTGGGGTGCTCCCGTTTTATTTGTGAAAAAGAAAGATGGTAGTTTTCGCCTTTACATTGATTATCGAGAGTTGAACAAGGTGACAATTCGAAATAAATATCCTTTGCTTAGGATAGATGACCTATTTGATCAGTTGCAAAGAGCACAAGTCTTTTCTAAGATTGACCTTCGTTCTGGCTGTCACCAGTTGAAGGTTAAGGCGGAAGATATACCTAAGACAACCTTTCAAACTAGACATGGGCATTATGAATTTTTAGTGATGCCGTTTGGGTTGACCAATGGACCTGCAGCTTTTATGGATTTAATGAATAGAGTATTTAAACCCTTCTTAGATCAATTTATGGTAGTTTTTATTGATGACATTCTTGTGTACTCGAAGAGTAAAGAGCAGCACGAAGAACATCTGAGAATAGTGTTGCAGATATTAAGGGAGAAGAAGTTATTTGCTAAATTGAAGAAGTGTGAATTTTGGTTGGAGAGTGTATCATTTTTGGGTCATGTGATATCTAAAGATGGGGTGTCTGTTGACCCCAAGAAAGTGGAGGCGGTGGTGGAGTGGAATCGGCCTACTAGTGTCACTGAAATTCGTAGCTTCTTGGGTTTAACAGGATATTATAGAAGGTTTGTTGAGGGATTTTCCTGAATTTCTATGCCTTTGACTCGTTTAACACAAAAAGGAGTTAAATTTGAGTGGTCTGATGATTGTGAGAAGAGTTTCCAGATCTAAAGAGTCGATTGGTGTGTGCTCCAGTACTTATAGTTCCGTCCGGAGATGAAGGTTTTACCATCTATAGTGATGCATCGAAGATGAGCTTGGGTTGTGTCCTGATACAGAATGATAAGGTAGTGGCATATGCGTCTAGGCAGTTGAAACCATATGAGCAGAATTATCCTACGCATGATTTGGAGTTGGCTGCCGTGGTGTTTGCATTGAAAATCTGGAGGCACTACCTGTATGGGGTGAAATGTGAGATATTCACTGATCATAAAATTTTGAAGTATATTTTCATTCAAAAAGAATTGAATATGAGGCAAAGGCGATGGATGGAGCTATTAAATGACTATGATTTGACTATTAATTATCATCCAGGAAAAACCAATGCAGTGGCGGATGCCTTGAGTAGAAAGACCCCGAGTAATTTGGCTACCTTGATCACTGACCAAAAGAATATCTTGGAGGACTTGCAGAGGTTGAATATTGAGATTAGATGGCATAGCCATGGAGTGCAGTTGGCAAACCTTAGAGTTCAACCCACATTGATTGATAGAATTAAAGATGCTCACGGAAGAGATCCTTAATTGCAAAAACTTAAGGCTGAAATGGAAATAGGGCTACAGATGGAATTTTGTACGCATAAAGATGGAACCTTGAGATTTGGAGAGAGGTTGTGCGTGCCTAATGATTTAGAGCTCAAGAGAGAAATCCTGAGAGAAGCTCACAGTTCAGGATATACTGTACATCCAGGGAGCACTAAAATGTATAAAGACTTGAAGAGGAACTTTTGGTGGAATAATATGAAGAGGGAAATTGCTCAGTATGTTGCTCAATGTATGGTATGTCAACAAGTGAAAGTTAAACATCAGAGACCTGCAGGTAAGTTACAACCTCTTCTTATTCCCGAGTGGAAGTGGGAACATATTACCATGGATTTTGTGACGGGGTTGCCTAGGAAGTGGGAACTATTTATTTTTATGGATTTTGGCATTATGACAATTAAGGATTTAATTTGAGTATTTTACATTGTGGGTCATGTGATTGGATTCTTAGCCTTGCATGCTCACTTATATGAGTGTGCGGCGTTGTCACGGAGCTTGGGGCGTGACAGAAACGGAAATTACTGCTTTACAAAATTGTGGTTAGTTAACATATCCTAGCATTTCTTCTATCATGATTCATGATCCACCCAATTGAGAAGTCAGATCAATGTAGCTGTCTTCTCTGCAGGGAATGGTGAGACCGCCCATTGGATGTTCAAATCCAAATTCTTCCTCAGCTTGGCTTAACAAGTCTTGGAATGAAGGCTGGTTCAAGTATGATATCGGAATTACAAATCGCTTCTTTTCGCTCTCTCCAACATAAACTGCAAGATGGCCTTTTGGAACACCTATGGCTGTTGAGGCTTCTTGGTTTGCTTTCCATGATGAAGACCGTCGGTGGACTTGTTTAGCATGAATGATACGAGGCATACGAATAGCCATTGTTTTGAATTGGGTATATATTTCTCAACAACAAGAAAAAGGAATGAAGGACTTGCAGAACAAGTGAAAGTTTTGCTAGTGAAGAATGTGAAGCTTGTGTTGGCTTTCCACTCTTTGATATGCTTATATATAGACCAAAGCTATGTGGGAAATCTTATTGTAATCTGGAATGAGTGGTGAAGAAACACTAGAATGGGGTCTACTGAGAGGCACTACCACATGAAGGATCACACGGCTTTGCCTTCCTAGACTCATCACGTCATGAACTGAGAGCAATAGACCACACTGTGTGTATGTTAGTTGGGCAACATCATTCCCTACCACTTTGGTAACACTGAAATTCAAGAGATAATTTGAGGCATCACATGGTTTTTCCTCCTCGGTAAAATTGTACAATTTTGATTGTTTTCATGTTGTAGCTCTTTGTTGCAATTTTTATGTGGTCAATCATTTAAAGGAACAACTAAACAGGTCCACCTGACATATGAGTTATTAGCTCAACCATCTGCTATCAACACTAGCTAGCAGAAGAACATATGAGCTATCAATTCATATGAAAATGCCGCGTAAAGAATAGAAGGAATTGGTAAAATTGTTTTATGCAGGTATCATCAAGACCCCAAATTGGTTCTGACAAATATAGTTTCTAGTGTTACAATCTTGATACTATTTCTCAGAGACTATCATAACATTCAAGCATTATTTTTGGCAACTAAGACAAGGAATTCAATGTTAAGAATGAGTACTTAGGATTCAGAGGTCTTTCGGTTTGAAGATGATCTGTACAATATGAGTTGGGTCCGCATAACACAAGATATTTTACTTTCGAAGAAATAGGTGCTGCAGTAGTGAATTAAGGGAGTCATATAAATCTAGATAGATTGCATTCTCTAAGTGATGCCTTGAAAGGTACCTGATTTCATTGTTTTGCTTGGTCAGCATAAGATCATAACCGAATGAAAACTGCACAAGACCTACACGGACTTGTCTCCCTACAAAACATAAGCAAAGTCTCTGAAATATCCATTTCCACCCTCCTTGATGAAATCCCACAAGATGCAGAGGCTGCTCCAACAAGTCGCATTTTTCATATATTTTGATCATCAAAATCCTCAAAAAGACACTTTAGTACTTTCTCACATCAGAAATTGTACACATAAAATTGGCAAGCACCTTCACAACAGAATGGGCAACGCATATTCTCGGGTTTGCTGACAATCTAAATCAAAAAATTCCATAGTCTAATTTTCCTAAACTAATCATGGCCTCATCCCTGTCTACTTCAAGAGCATTTTAGCAAATTACTGTAATTCGATTTCTTTGCTTGCTAAAACATACCATTGACCATGGGATTGAATTCTATAACCAAGACTAACAATTCTAAAGGAAGGCAGTCTCTATAAGGTCTTTTTCACAACATTTATTTTTGCAACATTTTTGTGTTAAAAGTGTTGGAAATGGTTGGGAAAATTCTGGGTAAAACCAGAATTTTTCCCTAAGTTTGGTCTATTTTTTTAGGTGGGCCCCGTGCGTCGATTTTCGCGGGTCAAAGTGGTAACGCGTTCTATGCCGCGTTGTGATTCACGTGGTATATTTGGTTGCTCAAAACCATTATTTAGTGAATGGAAAATTGAAACTAAAGTGTGCTCCATAGAAATGGAGTTTTTGTGGAAATTCCTTAGGGTTGAAAAATGGCTTGTCCCATATTGATTTGGTGGGAAGTTTTGAATGGGTTTATAAGGCATGGGATTGGAACTTGGGATGTGTCCCAAGCGGGTACCCAAGTTTTGTAGAGAGGGAGGTTATGGGCAAAATGGGCTTGACCCATTGGACCCAAAAATCACCACACGCCTTGGGCTTGGGCGCTGGTGTGTGGTTGGGTTGGGCTTGTTCGGCCCAATACTAATCTTTTTGGGCCAGAAACATTTGGATTTAATTTTATTTTTTGAAATAAAATCTGTCCAAATGTCCAGAATTCAAATTAATTCCGGAATTAATCTGTTCCGATTTTTCTCTACACCCAAATAGGTCCTTTCCGTTTTTATCTATTTGAATTTTGAACCCAACAGATTTAAATCTATTTAATTCAAAACCAAACAGGTTTCATACCTGTTCAAAACAGGTTAGCACCTGTTTAATTCAAAATCAATAGCCACCACTACATCTATAAATCGGCAGCCCTCATTTGATGTTTTACATTTAGAAATTTCATACTTCTCCTCTGCAAATTTATTCTTCATTTTGCTGCATTTAATTTTTATGAGAAAGAGTATAAACACTTAGTGTGTTCGTTAGGCAAACAATTTGTAGTGCTTGCATTTATTTGTAGTTGATCATTTCATCCTGGGAGATAAACGTCCATATTCTGAAAGCACCATGGAGAGGACGAATCAGTTTTAAGGAGACAGTGTCGAACACTGGACTTGATTAGAATAATATTCAAGATATTAATCAAGTAAGTTATTTATTTATTTTCTGTTTTATTATTTATTTAAATCAAATTTTTATTTTGTTTTTGTAACAAAATAAAATCTGTTTTTATTTATTTAATTTTATTTCTAGTTTGATTTTTGTAATCAAACTTTCTCTCTCCTTTCCTATTTTTCTTTTATATTCTGTTTGTCGTTTAGTACCCAAACATAATTAATTAATTTAATTACAGTGAAGATTGTCCAACAAAAAGAGCAGGCTTAGAGATAGAAAATAGATCCAATCCAACTGAAACCGGCGATAATTTCATTGAAGTGTCATGCAGCAGCAGCTGAAGAACTTGTTATGGATTTTGATGCTGTCATTATGGAAGCCTCCCCAGCTACTAGCAAGTAGCCTTGTAGGTAATATCAGCAATGAAAATAAATTGATATGCAAATTGAACTTAGGAGGGAAGAGAGTAAAATTGTCATTTTGAGAAATCATGACGGTTATGATCGTGATTCACTAGAGCTAATCAACTAAGCTACTCCATGAAGGATCTGTGGATGATTGATTGGTCCTAAAAGTAAAAGTTGTTGTAACAACCCGTCCTATGTCGGAAGTTTGTATGAACAATATTTTAAGTATATAAACAGGAGTGATGAATTCAAATGATTTCATCTTGGCATTTGTGTTAAAGAAACAAAAATGTATATCAAATGGGTAGCTTGTGCTTTACAAAATTGTATTTGTTAACATATCCCAGCACTTCTATCATGAGTCATGATTGACTCAATCGTGAAGTGAGATCAATGAAGATGTCTTCTCTGCAGGGAATGGTGAGACTGCCCATTGGATGATCAAACCCAAATTCTTCCTCAGCTTGGCTTAACAAATCTTGGAATGAAGGGTTGTTCAAGTATGATATTGGAATTACAAATCGCTTCTTTTCACTCTCTCCAACATATACTGCAAAATGGCCCTTGGGAACATCTACTGCTGATGATGAATTTGCTTGGTTTGCTTTCAATGATAAAGACCTTCGGAGGATTTGTTTAGCATGAATAATGCAAGGCATATGAATAGCCATTCTTTTCAATGGGTATAAAGGAATAGCAGAACAAGTGAAAGCCTTGGCAGTGAAGAATGTGAAGCTTGTGTTGGTTGTATAGGCTCATCTGTATGAGTATATATACATCAAAAGTGGGTGGGAAATCTTATGAAATCTAGAATGAGTGGTGAAGGAACATTAGAATATTGGGGTCTACTAAGAGTCATTAGCACATGAAGGGATCACGTGGTTTTGCCAAACTACAAAGGCCCACCTGTTGAAACCTGTTATATTTGAGGACTGTCAGCTGATTTATGGCATGTAGCAACTGACAAATTACATCAAAGACTAATTGTCACTGATGGCCTTCTCGCAGATTGTCACAAATTCCTTACCTGTATTTCTTAAGAAACGTCATCATGTGAGCCGATCATATGTTCCAGTGCTTTCTGGTCTAACAAATTGCATAAACAATCTCTTTTGTGGTTATTATGAATTCAAGAGATCTGATCCACATATTGTGTTGAGCAAAGTAGACTTTGATGTAACTTGTCAATTGTTAGATGCCATAAATCAGCTGACAGCCATGAAATATAATAGGCTCTACAGGTGGGCCTTTGTAGTTTGGCAAAACCATGTGATCCCTTCATGTGCTAATGTCTCTTGGTATACCCCATTCTAATCTCCCTTCACCACTCATTCCAGATTTCATAAGATTTACCACGGACTTTTGATTTATATATATACTCATATCCATGAGCCTATACAACGAACTCAAGCTTCACATTCTTCACTGACTAGCTTTCACTTGTTCTGCAAGATCTTCCTTCCTTTTTTCTTCTTGTTGAGGAAGATATTCCCAATAGAAAAGCAATGGCTATTCGTATGCCTCGCATTATTCGTGCTAAACATTTCCTTCGACGGTCTTTATCATTGAAAGCAAAACTAGAAGCTTCATCCGCAGCATTTGATGTCCCAAAAGGCTATCTAGCAGTTTACGTTGGAGAGAGTGAAAAGAAGCGATTTGTAATTCCGATATCATATTTGAACCAGCCTTCATTCCAAGACTTGTTAAGCCAAGCTGAGGAAGAATTCGGGTTTGATCATCCAATGGGTGGGCTCACCATTCCCTGCAGAGAAGACATTTTCATTGATCTCACTGCTCAATTGGGAGGATCATGATTCAATATGGGGCACACTTGTTAGCATATTTTAGCATATACACAGTTTTGTAACAAGGCAGCAATCACCATTTCTATGTACAGATTCCGTCTTTTCCTTTTCTTTTTCACACAAACAATTCATCCATTGAGGAGGGTGAGAAATATGTCATTAGAACATTATAAATTAAAGGCAAAAGGCTTCATTGCATTGAAATTTCTGTTTGTATAGATTCTGTAGTGTCAAACTTGGTAAAGCTAATACATTCTATTGATTTGGAATATCATGTTGGTCATGGTTGTTTTTGCAAGAAAAGAACTGAATCAATAGTCATTTGCCTAACCAACAATAACTCATAGATATTTAATGAAATTCCTTTGACGGACACTCTCACAATACACTTTTGAGGCAGTATCAGCAACAGAGTATAATAGGCTGTGTTATCTGTAGATGAGTTATGTAACAATTCCAGATATGTGTAGAAACTGTCTTTCTGAGGATTTCAGTGATTAAGGCAGTCAAAATAGATAACCAGTCTCTATAGAGAACCATATAAACCTACCTATAAGGCTACTTTTATAACATTAGTAGGTTAAAAGAGTGATGAATTCAGATGATATCACTTTGGCCAGTCATGTTGGGTGAGTTTTCGTGATTGTAACTTCTGGTATCAGAGTTGAAGTTTCCAAGGCGCTGGAATGCATAAATGAGAACCATTATTGGCTGCTGCAATACAACCCTTTGATTAAAGTAAAAATCACATGTATCTTAAATCTAAAGAAAGAAAAAACAAATTGAAGACAGACTTTACTGTTAAAGAAACAAAAATGTACATCAAATTGGTAGCTTCTGCTTTACAAAAATTTTGTTAACTAATATAAGTTAGCTGCTGTTTCATAGAACATTCAAGCAAATAGTGAGATCAATGAAGATTTCTTCTGTACATGGTGTAGTGAGACCACCCATTGGATGATCAAATCTATACTCTTTTTCAGCTTGCCTTAGCAAAGCTTCAAATGAAGGCAGGTTCAAGTATGTAACTGGAATCACTAATCTCTTATTTTCAGTCTCTCCAACATAAACTGCAAAAAATCCCTTTGAAACATCCACAGCTGTCGAACAATTTGTTTAGCATGAACATTATGAGGCATTCGAATCCATTGTTCTAAATGATATGTATGTCTTTTTTTGTCTAATTTAAAGGGTATGTGGAAATCCTTTGAAATGTGGAAGACTTGTAGTTAGTCACATACTAGACTTGTAGGTCTGATTTAAAGGGTATGTGGAAATCCTTTGAAATGTGGAATGACTGGTAAAGAAGCATTTGGATGGGGCATAGTTGGGGACATTAGCACATGAAGTATATCACATGGTTTGTCATCCGACTCATTGTCAGGAATTTAGAGTGATAGAGAGACTAATAAATTGTAAAAAACACTTGTTAGAGCAAACAGTGTAAAAAATCAAAATTTCATAAGTGAAGTTTTGTTAAACTTTTTTTGTTTTGTTTGTTTAATGGAAAAAACACAAAAAATCAGAAACCTAAGGATGGAATTTGGTCAAAAGCTGCTTGGTTCATAGTATGGCAATGAGTTTTACTCATTGAGAATTTTCAAATTGAACATGGGCTTTTCAAAGAAAATATGACAACATTGGCAGAAACCTAGCTGCATCACTTTCCAACATACTTCACAAATAATTGCACATTATGTTATTTGATCAGGGCAGTGTTGAAATGCATCCCACATCGCCTGGGGTTGCCCCATCTGTGCTAATTATAAGGCTCTAGTTTCCCTCTCCTTCATACCTGGGTTTTAAGGAAAAATGTAGGTTGGGCTTTTCAACTTGGTATCAGAGCTTGGTTGAGCCTGTGACTAGTGAGCTATTTGTCCAGCTAGTGTGTGTCCTGGTGGTGTGTTGGAATGTGTCCCACATCGGTGTGTTGGAATGTGTCCCACATCGTCTGGAGTTGCCCCATCTTTAGTTATAAGGCTCTAGTTTCCCTCTCCTTAATACCTGGGTTTTAAGGAGAAGTGTGGGCTGGGCTGGGCTTTTCAACTGGCAGAAGAATGCACATTAAAGATTTGGCTTCTGTAACAAATATTGCTGCAATGTAATAATAGTGTTCTAATAGATAAATTTCAGGGACTGGATGACAAGCTAGCAATTGGATGGAAACATTGCCTGATTAACAAAATTCAATTAAAAAGCGAAGTGAAGCTATTCAATTACCATGAAGATTGAACTACCAATTCACTTCTCAGCAAAAAAAACATATTGACATTGATTCACAAGAAACACTCCTACTATTCTAATTCAAAATGGTGTGAATCCAAAAACAAGAAAGTCTGAGTCAATGATGTTAGAGTCTTTTTTCATTTCTTGCTCATGAGCAATTCAAACTACAAGTGATGTCAATGAAGGTCTCTTCTTTACATGGGATTGTAAGACCTCCCATTGGATGATCATACCCAAATTATTCTTCAGCCCATCTCAGCAAGCTTTGGAATGAGGGATGCTTCAAATATGATATCAGAACAATATACTGCTTCTGCTCAGTTTCTCCAACATAAACAGCAAGGTGGCCTTTGGGTACATCCCATGCCATTGGAGCAGAAAGAACTCTTCTGATAACTTGTTTTGCTTGAGGAACACCTGGAAATCCCCACGATTTCTAGGTTGAGTTTTTTTAATTGGAAGAGTGATCTTGGCAAGTAATTATTCTCTAAGACTTGTGCAGAGCAAGATTGCAGGAATACAATATATATAGAGCAAATTCTATATGTCTAGCATTCTCAAATGGAGTGTGTGATGAAGAGACTATTGCGTTGTGGTCCCTTGAAGGTCATGTGACATGGGGTACCACATGGATATGCCTCCCCAACAAAAACATTATGTGATGTTTGTGACTCTGCAGAAAGTAAGGCCTGCTTAAAACGACATGTCTCTGGGTCTGGTTGATGATCAAAACATATACTGACTGCAGATTGGATCAAATACTCGTTACGCAAGCCATATGTGGCTGTCGTAAGATTTGTTGAAAATTGTGGTCAAGTGAACACGAATGCAACCAGTGTTGACTGTGTCATAGCAACACCAGACATGGTATTGCACAGTTGAGCTGCTCATGTGACAATGTTCCTTGACATATACCAGTGTGAACCAGTGATAATGTGAGCTTAGTCTGAATTGGGAAGGATGGTAGTTTGAGTAGAAGCACTACGCCAAGCCTGAAATATACAGTTGTCTATGGTGTTAACATCCAAATTGAGCCATGACACCAAACCAGTAAGGCTTAAATTGGATAAAGGTCAATTCAAATATTTCAAATGATTGGCAATAACCTATGAAGCAAGCATATGGGTGCCTTACGAGTACGGAAAAGCTTTGAAAAAAAATTTATTTATTTTTCTGAAAATTAGAGGAAAGATGAAAAGTAGTGAAGGAACCTCAAGTCTGAGTAATGGCTTGGTATGTGGAAATTTGAATGAAGCAAGTGCTCCCTAAAGACCTGTTTGACATTTTTTATTGATCACTCACTTTAATGGCAAATGTTGTTGGAACAATATATGATCACAGAGAATATGGAAGGGATTACTTTGCTAGCTTAGTAAAAATACTAAAGCAAATTGGCTGTTGTATAGGTTGAGTAGCGTACTGAGTCGCTCTAAAGACAACCCAATCACTACATCCTCAGGATAAAACAACCCAAAAGGAGAGAGGATCAATTAAGCAAAATCAGTGCACTAATTAAGCACACGGTTTTCTCCAAAAATATAATCCTTTTTCGACCAAAAAGTCCTAGTCTGACTCTGCGTGCATGTGTCTTTGATATGCGCCAGCGGGATGTGACGTGTGATGCATGCTCAGTAAGGTTTTTTTGGCGAAATCAAAATCTGCCAAGCTAATTTGGTCGTGGTCTGTGTGCATGCAAGGGTCACTCCTCTACTTCATCACTACAACCCAATACAAGAGTGTACCTCATAAGTAAAAACTTTTTCTTCCTCGTTCCAATGTGAGACGAAGGTGAAAATACACACTAATTATAACAATTGTCTTTTAAGGGTTTGACTGCTAACATTGAGAGATTTTGGATATCGAATCTATGAGTCGAAGGAAAAGGGAAGGAAAAAGTGAAAAAAAATTAACTTCAGCTCATTCACTTTTCCCCTTCATTTTCCTTTCCGTCCACAAATCCAAGATCCAAACACAGTTTAAAAAGCCCTTCTGATTCTTTACATTGTAAGGATCTTGATTTTTCTTATCCAAAAAGATCTTCAAAATTCTTTACAAGCAAATGTCGCAACTTGTTTCAGCTGATCGACCCGTTATTCAAAAACATGTACCAAAATCTATGTTAGACTATAAATATTTTCTCTTCCAATAGTAAACAAAACTTGAATTCCTCCTGGCTAAAAAATTATGTGGCCTGACAGGTATCTTGCAACCAAACATCAATCCTTCATCCATTTCCTAGCCTATCCACACAAGGGTGTTCATCAAGGGACTTTCACCTAATCTCTATGAGTCATCATCGATTAGGCACTGAATATTGATTCAGTTCTTCATAAAACATCCATGACCAACTAGATATTCCAATTTAGATTTCAATAGTTAACCTAGTTTAACAGTTCCAGCAGATGATGGAGCCGGTGAACTCTGCCAAAGCCCAGAAAGCATGCCCAAATTTCAAATAGAATTCAACTGAGAAAATGGACATGAAAACACTACACAATCTATATAAACAAAAATATCAATGCAATGAAGCTTTTGCCTTCAAATGTGAGAGAATTTCAAATTTATAATATCCTGATGGCATTCTCTCTCTCTCTCTCCCTCAATGGATGAAAGGAAAAGAAAGAAAATTTGTACATAGAAATGTTAATTAATGCTTTACAAAATTGTGTCATCTAACAAATCCTAGCATTTCTTCTGTCATGAATCATGATCCACCCAATCGAGAAGTGAGATCAACGAATATGTCTTCTCTGCAGGGAATGGTGAGACCACCCATTGGATGATCAAATCCAAATTCTTCCTCCGCTTGGCTTAACAAGTCTTGGAATGACGGCTGGTTCGAGTATGATATTGGAATTACAAATCGCTTCCTTTCGCTCTCTCCAACATAAACTGCAAGATGGCCTGTTCAGACTTCTTGTTTTGCTTTCAATGATGAAGACGGTCAGAGGACTTGTTTAGCATGAATGATATGAGGCATACGAATAGCCATTGTTTTGAATTGGGTATATCTTCCTCAACAACAAGAAAAAGGAAAGGACTTGC